ACCTTTCTGGTTTCTTTCTTTCTTTGGTTAGAATCTGTTTAAAATAATTCAACTGCAGATACATGCATAGATTGCCAGTGCTATTCTTCTTTATCAAGGATTTTAGAACAATAAGAGATTATAGCTGATAAAGTCTGTGGATGAATAAAGACTGTGAAGAGTTAAATGTGAACACATAGTCCTCAGAGACTCAGATACAACAAGGGCAGAATCATGTGTAATCTTGTCTCATTTGAATAAAGTTTGTCTTTACTCAAATGCAAATATACATATAGAGTGAAGAAATTTAAACCATACCTGAAAAATGAGGTAGTATAACATCTTGGGGAAAAAATCTAGACATCATAAACAACTTTACAGTTGATTAAGGACAATGATGTGACAGAAAAGTCTAATGCATAATGTTTGTCAGCCTGTAACCCTAAATCCTTGGAGTTTCACCCTTAAGGAATCTTCATATAGCTACAAAGCTTTTTAATAAAAGCTTTTTGCTAATGGGCCTTTGACAGTCTGGTGTCTGCACTTCCAAAACAGCAGGAGAGAAGACAATTGGAGAAAATACTGAAGTCCCTTGGATGCAATCAGTAGAGATATGGCCAGATGAAGAATGACTTGCAATTTTCATCACGGCATGTGGCAGACAAGTGCCAGATTTTTAGCAATGCTGGAAAAGTTGGACAGGTTACAGAAATAGCTAAAAATTAATTGCTAGATGGAAAAAAAAAAGCCTTGAGATGAGATTAAAAAGAGATTGAGTCTTTAATATTATCAAAAAGAAATTTGATATATCGGTTAAATTCAGTGGTAAGAATACCTTATGGGTAGAAAACAGTGATTATAGAAAGACTTTTGAACTAGTAAGCAAAGGTAGAAATAAAAGTAATAGAATCTGAGGCCTGATGAACTTACTGTTTTCTAAGATATGGATTTTAAGAGTGAGTGAATTTAGCCAAACAAACTGTGCAGGGGTACATTCTTTCTCTCATCTTAAAACAAGCAAGGCATCTTTCTGGAAGAAAAGTTTTAGACAAAATGATATTTTCGTGGATCTCTGGCTGTCGGGATCTATATAGGGACAAGTACTTTAAATATGATATCTTGTAAAATATAGGACAACAAAGGGTATCATCATCGAATTGGAAGGAATGTAAAGAAGTTGTTTGGTCCATCCCTGTGTGTATTGTAAGAACGACTGTACTACAGCTTATTTGTGCCATATGTTTATCCTTCTTCTTCAACATGGACCTCAAGCCATGGAAATTTCTACCTTCACTATTAGAAAATGTGTCCTAACAAGTGTTGCTGGCCTTTAAACATACTACTTCTTGCCTTCTTCACTGTGGAAAAAAAATTATCTCTTTCTTCTTTGCCAGAGACTTAGGTTTTAATTTTGTTCTCCCTCAATCTTTTTGTATTTCCCTAAGCAAACACCATTTGTTCAAAAGAAATTCATGTTTTCTAGACCTTTAGTCATTCTCACTTTTCTTTTTTGGTCTCTCTCCAGCTCACCCACATTAACCCTACTGTAGCCTTTTCAAGTGAAAGGATTATTTCACTTGACTTTTGGGCTATACTTCTGAATAAAATGACAAAAAGATATGGTAATAAAAAATATGTAATAGCATAAACCTTCAGTCTTCACATAAATAATAAAGGTCTGCTTTTGCAAGATGAATGTTCTTTAACAAAAACATTAATGAATTCATCTGTGTAATCAGCTGCATTTGGGACTTTTAGTACTTCATTGTTTAAGTAATGAAGAAATTTAGCAGGTTTCAAATGTACTGCTGTTGACAAGTATGTTTACAAGTTGTTCCAAAGAGCCGTGAAGCCAAATTTATCCACAATTTTTTTAGTTCTTTGTTAGTACAGAAAAACTGTCGAGACTTGGTGATTTTGCTTTTATTTCTTCTATTTATTTACAAGAGATCCTTCTAATAGTTATTGATTCCCCTTCTCCTGTCTATCCTAAGCAACTAAAGACAGTTCTTTCAGTAGGTTTTGTAATTTCAGTCCTGACATTAAGCATTACTAAACATTTGTCATTGTTCTGTGTTTTTGTAATGTAGTGAAAGTTTTTTTCTTGACGATATTTTAATCTCCACTATACAGGTGTGAACTTGAAGAAAATCTCCAGAAGACAAGGAGGTTCTTTTTTATTGTAACTGGTTTTAACTGAACTGTGAATTTGCTTTTTCCTTCTGCTCTCCTTTTCACTAGATCTTGTTGTACTTCCCTCCATACAGCTGGGGACAATTTTTTCTGAGTAGCTTTTAATCCACTCATGATACTTGAAACAAAATTCTAGGTTTAACATCATGGCATTCAAACAGTGCTCTTTCATTTGGTTGTGTTGAATAACTTCTCTCACTGTAAACTCAAAGCAATGGTTGCTACGGTTTGGTTGTGGCTTGTACAAGGAGCATGAATTCAGTGCAGTGCACACACACACCCCAGTCCTTTCATGTAATTATGGCTTCTGTGCCTCCGTGGTGCACTGCCTCATTGTGTTTTTAATGCTGCACCTGTTTGTTGCGGGTGTAGCTTCTGTGCAGCTTCTCAAACTGCCACTTGTCTAGTATGGGCTTGCTAGAAATTAAGTCCAGTCTTTTACAGCTTACATTGCAAACATTTGAAGATGTACAGAGACCTGTATGCCTCTTAATCAACACCAAAATATCTTTTCATCTCTCATCCCTTCTCTTGAATCTCTGTCTCTGAGCAAGGAAAAACCCAGCAAGGCTTCATCAGTGCTTATGTGAAACTCTGCAGCTGGTATTCTCAAGCAAGTTGTAGGATTAAATGATAATGTAGTTTTAAAGCAAAAGAGCTTAAATAATGGATGAACAGATGTTTTTATGTCTTGTTTATGTCTTGGCAAAGAGGTTTTCAGGGCCTTCTGTAGACAACATGTTCTTCCAGGCAAAGCCTCTCTACTCTGATAAGATAGGGCACCAAATATACCAAAGAAGCAGGTTCAACAAAATATATTTGCTCTGGCATGTGTGCAGTACTGGTATTTTATCCTAATACTTCATGTAAACAGTGAAGTTCCTTCCTTAGCTGTTAGCTCAATAAATTCAGTCTGCTCTGCTTTTTTTCAGGCCCCAAAAATGAAGGTTTTAAGCAGATAGCACCTTCCTCAACAGCACCCTCCCCACCTGTACCTCCACCACACTCTGCTATGCCATTGCCACCTCCTCCACCAGCCTCTCACCCATCCCTGCAGCCCACAGAAGGTCCCAGCCTGCCTCCCAGAATCATCAAGCCCAGCTCTGAAACAATGTAAGTGCGCATAAATCCCGAGGTCTTCATTTTCTTGGCTTTTTCTACCTATTACTCTGCTCAAGCAGCAGCAATTAAAGCAGCAGGTGTCCAGGTTTCTGCAGGAGTGAGGTCCCACACAGCTTCCCTTGTCCTGCCTTCCCTAGCCTGTCTGGAATTGGTTTTTATTAGCTTGAATCCTCTATCTATTCAGTTGCTTCTCTAAATTGTCTTATCTCAAACAAAACGTTTTTCTGCCCTGTTGGTAAGTGGAGGTAGGGAGAAAACAGACACGCAGTGGGTTTTTTTACTCCAGAGGGGTTCAAAGACAGCATACAGTGGTAGGAAGCCAGCTGTATCAATAACTGAAGCTTTCTCCTGCATTTTTCTGGGGTAAGAGGGCCAGGTCTATCAGTTGACACCCCAGGAAGCAGCTTTGCAAGCCAGAGGTACTAAGCTCGGGGCTGATTGTAAAACTGCAGCAGGAGTCACATCGTGGCCTGATGTGATAACGCTGAGAAGTCTCTGTCATATATGGAGCTCCCTTTTTTATTCTTTTTCAAAGAGCTGCATACAAAAGGAGAGCCTCCCAGCGATGACGAGTTAAACCTGCTTCAGTCTAGTGTCAAAACTGACTGGAAAAACGCTGAGCCTGAACAGAGCTGCTTTCTGGCCAGCAGTTACTGCAAATGCTGCCAGCGGCGGACAAAGAGAACATATTAGGCATTAGGGAGGTGTGTGTCAGCACACATACTGTATTTTGGTACAGATGGCGTGACAGCATCAGTCCACCGCTGTTGCTGCGCTCGAGGCTGTGGGGAGCGTGTCCCGCTCTAAGCTCCGCCGGGGTGTCCCCGGGGAGCCGCCACCACCGCCCCATCTAGTGGCCACAACAGCTCTCTGGCTACCCACCTCGCCAAATGCTTGGAAGCCAAGTCTGTCCTCTTTGCCTTCAAGGACCTGTCAGATTTATCTCCAGATTGTCCTTCTGCTCTCCCGTTCCTGCGTGCCCTCTGGACCCTCTGCTGAAATGTGTGCCTGGGTGCTGACACCTTTCTTTCACCCTGTCGTGGTGCTCTCTCCATCAGGCCAATTTTAAAAGATCACTTTCTGCTTTCAGGTCCTTTCTTTGATTACACTTCTGTGGTGATGACTATCAGCCCTAGTTTTCTTTCAACTATTAGAAGGTATTATAAAGTTAGAAGTCTCTGATATTATTATTAGTTACATTCTCAATTTCTTAATTCTCTCTGTTTGACTACACTTGTAAGTCTAACAAAATCAGAGGACTTTTAACAGGCCTAATCTTACACCACTGTTTCTCTTGTGCCTTGTTTAGACTTTAAGCCCTATAAGTCAAGGAGCAAATCTTAGAGCTATAGTTAACATTGTGCAAAATGTTAAATAGGTGTTCTGCTTGTGCACTGTGTAAGAAGCCTGCACCTGCAAAGATGATTAAAAAGCCCAACAGATTCTTTCCATTCAGTCAGCCCATCTGTCATATTTTTCAGCCACACTCATCTCCATGGTGTCTGAGCACCTTTGGCTTATTTTCTCCTTTTATGTGCAGGATCAAGGTGTTCCCATGTGAAAAAGGAGTTGCAGTCAGAAAGAACAGTTTAGGTAACCTTGTGGGTACTTAAGTAGTAAATAGGGCTCTACAGACTGTCCCACCGTTGTATAAAATAGCTTGAAAAAGCACCAGAACAATGGTGAAATAAAATACAATCATAAAACCATCTTCACAGGTTTCACATATCCACTTTTTTATATTTACAGAAGTCCAGATAATGAAGAAAATTACGATGATGTTGAATTTGTTTCACAAGGTAAGATGCGTACATTGTAATTAATAGCAGCTATAAGAAGCTGTAAGCATATTGTGTTTGTTAGATAAGCAAAAGCATATTGTATTCATGAGTGCGTGACTTGTGCAGCTAATTATGCTGGTTCTGCAGTTTTATGGGTGAAGATGCTTGTCTCATAACACTAACTATTCTATATGACAGATGCTCAGGAACTGATTCAAATATCTCCCCTCTACCGCCCTTTTTTTGGTTAAAGATATGCTGGACCATAAATGACCAGATTTTCAAATCTAAACCAAAATGAATAGTCCTCTTTCAGAGTTGAAGTTGTGTGCTCTGGTGAAGGAGTGTCCTGGTTTAGTGTGACAGAATTTTAGAGTCAGTTTTCTGTTGAGGAAAACTGCAATTTTGTAAGAACTACAACACTCCATAGGAACAAAGTTGATAAAAACTTTGTTATAGGTTTCAACTAATACCGGTATGCAGGTTGCCATAGTGCTCAGGGTCTTTGAGGTCTTGAGATAAACAATTGCAGAGGCTGGGGGGAGCAGAAACCTAGGGGAGTTGACCCCAAGGTGACCCCAGGCTGACCAATTAATACTATCCATACCATAAGTGTCACATTCGCTATAAATTGGAGAGTTTGCTGCAGACAGTCCTTCTTGCCTTCTCTTCCTCTCCCTCGTGCTCCCTCTTCCATGGCTGACATCTTCAGAGGGTCTTGTTTATTGTCCTAACCCTGAGGCCTACTCCCCCACAATATTGGCTGAGTATAACTCTATGTATTTTATAGTATAACTGCTATTAATATTAGTTGATTATTACTGTTGTTGTTGTTGCCGTTGTTGTTGTTGCCGTTGTTGTTGTTAGTATCAAATATATTTCTATTTCAACCCATAAATTTGCTTTCCTTTTCCTGATCCCCCGCCCTTGGTGGGGAGGAGGCATCGGGTGATGAAGCAACTGTATAAACCACAACAAAGAGGCACTGTTTTATACTTGATAAAAAAAATATTTGTTGACTGTGCTTCTAATGTCTCTTTGTGGTCTGCCTTCAATAAGAGGCAGAGAGTCGCTATGTTGTACCAGGAGCAGCTAGAGAAGCAGATTGTGACACAAAGAATTTCAATCTGCCTTCTGATCTCTCCTCAGGAGGACTTGGCCTGGTCCAGGCACAGTATATGTCATTTAGTGTGCTAGCCATCCCTGCCATACAGCAGTGCAGACTGTGGAGCTGAAACTGAATTCAAGTTCTTTTGTTACCTATCTACCTGCAGAGTAAGGAGAAAGCAGGAGATTCACAGAACTTCTCCTGGAGTCCAGGGTTGAAGCTGGCTTAGCAAAAGAGCTTTTGGCCTCCTTATTCAGCTGCTGGACTGGTACAAGCAAATTCTCTGAGCTGTGTTTGGATTTATTAGGCTTTTAACAATTACTTTCTTGTCTAAATAGGCATTTTTAAAAACAAATAGCATAGGTAAATTTATAAATGTGACTGAAGAATCTTTAAAACTGATTTTCCCATTTTTAAAATACATGGTGAAATACGCCATTTTGTAGATATTTCTAGTTTACACTGTACTACAAAAGCAACCTGGAAAAACTCTGATTTTTTGCATTCATATTCTCACTAAAAGCAGGGAGCCTGCACATATTTCTAGTTGATATCACTGGTATTATTAGCAGTTTGTAAATAGTTAATGCTGGAATGAATATTTTTCTGTGCAGCAAAAAAGAAATACCCTGTTTTTATTTTTTTTCATATAGGTCATGGAAATACAGAGGGGGTAAGTGTTATCCGCGATGATAAACCAACCTTTCTTAGCACAAGCTTACAAATTTAGTAAAATCCCTGCAACTCATTAGAAAATTAATTGCAGAATGAATCCAGCATATTGACAGGAAATTGTAGGAGCACTTACTTATTGTGAAGGACAGAATAGAAGTCGGGTAAGCAGAGCAAACTGGAACTAATTATCAAAGCTGGCTAGACACCAAAAAATTCTTTAAAAAAAAGCAAACCCACCCCTTTTATTTCCACTGACATTTCACTTCACTGAATTTTTTCAGAAACAAGGGCCCTGTTCTATTCTACTAATAAACCACTTGTTCCAGTTAAGCACAGGTTTGTGTTGGTGTTGTTAAATACCTGGCTGTACTAGGTCTAAAACAGCCTCTGGTACCCTAATCTGAGTCCTACTTAGACCCTCAGTGTTCCAGTATAACTACTGCTAACTCTGGCACCTTCATCATGGCAGTGCAATCACCAGCACAGACAAAAGCTTTCCAGGACTAACATTGCAATTAAAATGTCTGCTTTTGATTAAGCCATATGCTAGTGTGATTGTAACAATCCAGTTGTGGTATCATAAAAACAAAGTCAGAAAAAAAATAATAATGGGTTTGAATAATGTAGTAACTTGGTTTAGGAAGAAAAAATTAATTTGTATTTACGTTTTCCTGTAAATATTTTTATATAGTTTGTATGAAGCTTACATAGCAAGTCCATTTTCTTCATGTCTTTCCAAATGTATCTAGGCCATTGAAAATAGATTTTTTGCTTACAGGGCCAAGAAAGTGATGGAGAGACGTATGAAGACATAAATGACATGAGGTAGTAATTTTAAGCTCTATAACATATTGCATCTGTATTACTAAAAGCTTGCTAACAAACATGCTTCATTTGGCACAAAAGTGTTATTCCACTGCAGTCCCTGTCAGGTGTTACTGTGTTCATTCATTTCACTTAGAGAAATTCAGGTTGTTCACAAGTTCATAGATATGCTATGCCCTGGGCTGCAAAAACTCCTGCAATAAAATCATGTGGTTACTGTGGTCAAGATAACAGAAGTCCAATTTCTGACCAAAGAAACATACATGAATCGCTGTTTGGAATTACAGCCTAGGAAGAAAAATAAGCCCAGTCTCTAGGTATTATGGTCCCAGATAGATCTTTTGTTGTTGTTTTTCTTGCTTTCTACAAAAATATACTGAGAACTCCTATGAGAGGATGGATTTACAGTTCTCATGGCCGGAGTCTACTAGCATAGCTACAGAGACAGAATACAAGCTCTTCTCATTCTTTTGCCATTTAGCCCTTTACTTTACGGAGTCTCCCACCCTGCTAATGTCTAAATATATGGGATTCACTGTATGACAATAGCCAGAGAAAAGCTCTCCCTTAGAATAAGTAACAGCTTAAAGTTCCTACACAGAAATACCTTGTTTCAGATGTAGAATTACTTTTGACAAAAGTTATTGTTGAATTCCCTTTGAAAATAGATAATTTTAAAAGTGTATAACCAAACCAAGTGATCCTTTTTCAGTATAGCAAAAGTGCCAAAAAGAAGAAGAGGAAGGAGCTCACTCAGTCAGTTCCATAGCATTTGTAAAGCACAGTTCTTCCAGCCAGACCATTGGCAACAAACAGCAGAGCTGTTTTGCAGGGTGCAGTTCTCAGTACCAGACAGTACATGAGGCACAGCAGGCAATGCACCCTGGTGTGATAGGCACATTTATGATGCAGTGCAGAAGACTGAGTGTCATTTGTGTAGACTTCTGGAATAGGTTACAAATAGGTTTAAAACTGCAGTCTGCTGGTAGCTAAGGTTTAAGTTCAGGCTGCATCTGATGACCTAGGTAAATATTTAACAGCTGCACGCAGACCTAAACTGCTACCAGATTCCAAGCTTGCTTGCCAAATTAGTTCAGAGATGTTTGGACATGCATGTGTAGAGCCAGTCTCTTACCTCCAGATAACCTTTTCTGCCATACTGTCCTTGAGGACAGCCACTTTAAATTATGTATGTAATATAAGAGAAAGGGCTGCTTACTCTGTCTGCTGCAGCCACAGATAGGGTTTAGAATCCATGGCTTTGATTTCACTGGGAGAAGTCTTTTTTCATCACATGTAGTTCTTGGTTAACCTTGGGTAAGAAAGCTTTGGTGAGATTTGCTTCACTTGCTACTTTCAGTCTTGGCAATGCACTTTCAGATCACCAAGGGAAAAAGAGAAGAAGCGGGACAAGGAAGAAAAGAGAAGAATGGATCAAGAGAAGAAGGAACAAAAGGAAAAAGAAAAGAAAGAGCAGGAAATAAGGAAGAAGTTCAAAGTAAGCTTTTTGGTTTGTAATCTGGCCAGAGACATGTAAGAAGCATTATTTAGAGTTGCCGAGTTCAAAATACAATTTTCAGCTCACTACGAAACTATTTGTTATGGTAGGTAGTTCAAGCATCTGGATAAATTCTGAATAAAGGTTTAAGCTATCTGTTATATTTGGCATATACTTGATTTGAGGGTCTGTAACTGAGGGCAAAGATACTTTTTCAGTGTTTAATACAGTTTTTGTTAAATTCCCTTCTCACATTCTTTCTATGTAAAAAAGTCTTAAAAATGTTTCCTTTCACTTTTCTGTTTAAAAAGCATTTGCAACACTAGAATAGCATCAAAAGTCCTTAATAAAAGTGAGAATTGGATCCCATATACTTAGAATTTTTTGCTTCCCAGGAGTCAGATACAACAGTATCCAACCCTTAAGAGTTTTCAGCATTAGATTGCAACACATTGCCCCTGCCTTGGTCTAAAGACACCTAAAAAGACTTACAGCCTAAGTGGGGAGGAAAGGACTAGGGCATGTGTAGGGGAGCTGCAGTCACTGCCCAAGCCTATAGGCTAAATGATGATATAGTTCTTTCTGATTTATATCATTTTCATGTAGCTGGTGGTCTCCATGCTACCACAGTTTACAAATCTGCCAGTCATTTTCTGTTAACTACTGCCTGTTCACAATGCTCCACTGTGTTTTTTTCAGCGTCATTGTACATAGTGGGCAGCTTTGTTTTTCTTCTTGTTACCCTTTCTACACAGTAAAACCATGGTGATTCTCTCACATCATGGCCTTGGTTTGCTGTGAAAAGACTGATACAAGTTGAGGAGCAAATATTAAAGGAAAGTACCAATAGTTAATAACAGTGAGTTATCTGGCATTTGTCAGGATCCAAGTCTATTTTTCAGACCACTCCTGTGAAGTGTAGGCATTAGTGCACTGAATGCTTTTAGACTGCAAACTGCTCTCCTCCAGCCATTAAAGTATGTTATTACTCTTAAATGCAAACAAATATATTTTAGTGCATATTTTCTTTCCCATTTCTTCACCACGTATACAGGATAGATATTCCTGAGCTAGTCTGTAACTGTCAACAGCCACATTCCTCTGCAAGATCACATCTATATTAAAGCTAGAGATACTAGAATCCAATATGGTTTCTCCATAACGTATGCTAAAGATCTCACAAGAAGAGTCCTGAATTCCAGTAAACAGTGTGATCATCTCTTGTGAGTTCTTGCAGGATCATTTATAAAGCAGAATTGTAAACATAGAACATTATGTGGTAGACTTATTTGTGTTAATGAATATTTACTCATATGAGTAGTTCTGCCGCAACTACATGGAGCTGCCCACTGGAATTAAAGATGTGTCTGTTTTGTGAACCTGTGAAAGGCTCCATATGTTAGCCTGATGGTTTTAGTCTTTGTATTTCTGTGATTTTGCCAGTCACTCCTTCAGCTGCTCTGCTGCTCCATTGCTCTCTCTTTTTATTCCTGATTATTAATTCAAACTGGGTAGTTGGACACAGGAGTCAAGCCTTTCTGTTTATTTGCCTGGACTATTTTGAATATCAGTGAAACAAATAATCGTCATCACAGTAAGTTTCTCTTTTGTCTGAATGTTTGAGAAATAACTCCACTTTTCCATGTCTGTGATTTCTTTTGTTGCGTCTTCTCTGCAGTTAACAGGACCCATTCAAGTCCTTCATCAGGCACGAGCTCGTGTTGACCACAAGGGAGGGAAGAATGAGTTGACTGTCAAACAGGGGGATGAGATTGAAATCATTCGCCTCACAGACAACCCAGAAGGAAAGTGGCTGGGCAGGATAAAAGGATGTTGTGAGTTATGTTTCTTCCCTGTGCTCCCAAATGGTTTCACTGTGTGACAGCAAACATTTAAGCATCACACCAAAGAGTAACCTTACCAAGGCTGAGTCACTGGCCACCAAAGTAAATAATTACCACAATTCACCCTCTTGTCCTTAGCTGGCATGCGAGGCTTAGTTCATAGTAGGAAGTTATTGTACAACAGAATGTAACATCTATAGACACTAGAATAAGTTAGGAACAGTATGTTGGGATTTTCATGGACCTGGTGAGAAGTAATTCCATGTCAGCCTTCAAATAGCATCAGAACTTGGCTCCGTGCAAGTAACAGGGATCACATATTTTTGTGTCCTTGTATTAAAAATGACATGATTGTTCCTAAAATAGAAACAAAAAATGTAAGGTCCTGTTTTAAGTGTTTGTCATGTTCCTATTCCTATGGAAAGTTTCTAACTGATTTCTAGATTTTATTTTGTCTGAAATCCAAGGTGTTTCTCTAATTGTATAAATATAATCAGTGGATCTGTGAGTATGATAAGAGGTTGACAGTCTGGCTCCTGAGTTATAGTAAAGACATTAAAAAAGAAATCCATAAAATCTATGACAATTATTAAAAGCACTTGCCTGCTTTTTAAGGAGACCGAAATGACAGTAAGTTCAGTAAGACAGTTCACACCTGTAGAATTGGACAATACCAGCTGAGTACTTTGTAGTACTGGATGTAAAAAGACACTAAGGAACAGCAGCGTGTCTCATATGAAGAGAGGCTGAGAGAGCTGTGACTGTCCAGCCTGGTGAAAGGAAGGCTCAGGGAAGATCTTATGATTGTTTATAAATATCTGATGGGAGGGTGTAAAGAAGATGGAGCCAGGCTCTTCCCAGTGGTGCCCAGTGACAGTGCAAGAGGCAACAGGCATAGACTGAAACACATGAAATTCTGTCTGGACATCAGGAAACACTTTTTTACTGCAAGGGTGGCTAAGCAAGGGAAAAGGTTGCCTGAAGAGTTAGTGGAGTTTCCATCCATGGAGGTCTTCAAAACCTGACAAGACACGGTCCTGGGCAACCTGTTCTAGTGAATCATGCTTGGGCAAGTTCCAGTTTCAGCTATTGTGTGATACTTTGAAGTTTTGTGAATAAGTCTTTTGCATTGAGCATTTTGTACATAGGAAACCAAATCTTGGTGAGGGCTGGCATAAGGGTATTTTCTTTATCATGTGCACTCAGTTATTTGATTTACCTTTAATTAATTTACTTTTCATAAAGTTTTTCTTGCCTTAGCAGAACTCTAAGCTCTACAAGGCTTCTAACAAGTGTCAATGGTACAGCCCAGTTTGTTTCACCAATGCATCAGCCTTCAATGTTTACAGGCCAGTAATGGTCTGTGAAGAAAACCAAGCAACAAAGGAAAATAATTTCCAATCATTTAAAATAAAATCTAAAAAAAAATCATTGCGTTACAGATTTTAGGGGAAGCACACTAAAACAGGGATCAGGCAGAAACAGCAGAGTGGGCGATTTTCCATTTTCAAGAAATGCAAGAGCATTTTTCACCTTTAAGAAAATCCATTCATGCCTTCAGGCAGTATGCCTGCCTAAAATTCTCCTCAGCAGAGACAGAGTTCTGAATCTCGGGCCAACTGTTCTGCTGGAAGTTTCTCCTGAGCCATTGCACCCAGAGGTATAACCAGATCTTTCTAGTAAAGATCCAGGGGCAAGAGGATAGCAGTGCAGCTGCAGTGTGTGTACCAACCTGAATCAAAATCAATACAAAGAAAATGTCTCTCCCTCATATTGACCTCTCAGAATCTTTACGTCATGGACTGCCCTAAACCATGCCATGAGACTGCAGTGGTCCCAAGGTTAGCTGGTAAAGGGAGCTTGCCCCATGATTCCTGAAGTCTGCACAGAAAATTCTTCTGCTGTAGCTGAGATGCAAATAATGGTGAAGTTAACTTGACAGCAGCTGAAAAGGGTTTTGAGGGAAATCTGAGTTCGGTCTGAGATTTGTATTTGTGTGGAATCTCCATTTGAGGTGGAGCAGCTGAGGCTGCTCAAATGAGACATTTCTCTGAAAGTTTTCAGAGATCATACAAAACAATTCAATCACTGATTTGGAACCTTATGTTAAACTCATATTTTTACCATGACCTTTAAAACTCTAACTGCCTTGTTACATGTTTTCATCCATTTAGATGGATACATTAAAACAACCATGGTGGAAATTGATTATGATTCTTTAAAAAGAAAGCAACAACCGCCTACTAGAGCTTCTGTGAAACATTCAGAGAGCGACCAAGAAGTGTATGATGATGTTGGAGAGCAGGACAGTATTATCAGGTATGTATAAGGAACACATAAAAAGGAACCAATGATTCACCCCAATCAGCCTAGACAGGGTAAGTTTTACAATAACAAAGCAGACTTGTCACAGGAGCACAGGCATTTACATCAGAAACATGTAGCTGAGCTATTCAAACTGAAGTAGTCAGAGGAACAAGAACAGATGCTAGAATCCAGCAATTATAGACATTTAGGAGGAATCCATGCTATGGGACCTACAGCTTTGCAGTCCAAAAGAGAACAAAATGCAAACATGCAGGATTACAAATCACCTGCAGGAAGTGCAATTCTCTTCCTTCCCTCTCTTTTCTTGTTCTGTCTTTTAAAGTCACATACTGCCTTTTCTAACATGCAAGAATAAGAGACTCCAAAAGCAATGGAAACAGTCAGTGCACTGGGGAACTCCTGATCACCCTCACTGCTCTCAAACTATGAGTCTTACTTTTTTCCCTTTGAAGAGAAGGGACTTCTGGAAGCATGACTGGGATGGCCCTTCAGAGTACAGTGTGGCTAACATGTTTATTCCTGAAAATAAGGCCTATAAAATCCCATTATTATTTATATTTTTTTGGTTCATCAGAAGCTTCTCCTATATGGCACAGTTTCACATGCATTTGCAATGCAGTGCTATATTGCAGACTCTCTACTTCAATGTGCCATATTTTTAACATCAAATAGATCTGCAGGTGGAGAAGTGTCATCTCCAGCAGTGTATCAGATATGCTGGCATGAAAATATCCATGTGATCTTATGACAAGAGCCAAGGCTCTCACATGACCCAACATGACAGTGGTACCTGTTAACCTGACCTCACTTAAATCTACTTCTGTCATGTGGTGCAACAAGCCAGTACTCATCCTCCATTACATGTCTTGATGTGCAAAAACACATACTCCAGGTTTCAGATAAGAGATCTGCGTATAGGTGTAGAGCATTTCGATGTGTAGGACAACCATCTTGAAACACTCAGCTATTGTACCTGCTTTTGCTGCTTCCTAGCACCTTAACTTAGAGGCCTGGCTGGAATAAAGAGACCATAGCTGGCTGGCTGCCAGGTGCCGCTGATCCTCAACTGCTAGAACATCCCTATGAGCTCCACAAACAGTACTTGGAAAGACCTGCATTCAGGCTGGCATCCTTTAAGCAACCAGTATAGTTTTGCATATGATGTTCTTCCAGACTGCTCAACATCAATCTTCCTCCCTGCACATTGGTCTCATAACATTGTAACCTAGGCAGAAGAGTTGCTTTAGTTCTTCTGTTTAACCATTATGTACTTCATTGCAGATGTATCTTTGGTCAATCATTTTCACTATGGCAAGCATTACAGTTAACCACCTCAACGCAAGGAATTTAGAAATTTTTTTTAATTCAAAAGCAAACAAGAATACTTACACTGTTGCATACTAGAATAACAGTGTAAGGAACTTGGAAGGATGAATGAATGGCTCAGATTTGTTAAATCCTTTAAGCTGTATCTTGACATTTTTATCTTCTCTAGTGATTAATAGCATTCTGTTCAGTCCATGAGCTGGAATTGCTGGAAGGTCTGACATGCATCAATATGGTTTGAAACCACTGTAAGAATGCCATACTAAAAAAAAGCTTATTGATCAAATACTATTCTCATTATCAGTAATACTGTTAATATTACAAAATTTATAAGTAGCTAGGGCTGTTGTATTTCAGGGTTTCTTGGCACAAGAGTTTAACAACTATCTTGTTTTGATGTGTAAGTTTAAGTAAGGCTCTGACCTGGAAATAATCTCAGCTACTGTGAAGCCATCAGGACTTTTTCAATTACTTTTAGAACACTGGCCTAGTATGGATTCCTTGAAATGTTAGAAACCTGCAGTTAGAGGTTTAAAGCATCACCCAATGAAAGCTAGTTGAGCAATAAATTAATTTGTTTGCCGTTTCCTCTCAAGAAAATCCCCTCATAAGGGATGAATCTCAAGAGTGTGGGTACACTCACTAGTGTTCAGTCAGATTATATTTTTATTCCCATCAAGTTTGATGACGTGATCTCCTAAGATCCTTTACAACATGAATTATTCTACGATCCTAAGTCATATTTTGTGCTTTAGTTTAAACATATCAACAAAAATATCAAATATATTCTGAATACAGTAAATTGTTATAGCTGTAGATATCAGTCTCCATTTTCCTGAAAGTGACATTTTGTGGGAAATTGCTAACGGTTTCTAACAACTACTAGCAATTAGGACTGAATGTTCTGCTCATATGAAAATGTGCACCTTCATTGGCTTGAAATACCTGCACTGATTGACGCAAATAGAGAATTTGCTTCCCAGCTTTACTTGTACTGTCCTTTCTTTCACATTACCTAAAGAAGGTATTGATAATTCTCTCTCTTCTTCCCCTTTGAATTACTGTGAATGATATTTTAAAATACTTTTTTCTGATCTGTAACAAACTATTTCCAGGGGGAAAAAAGAGTACTTTTCCTGCTTTACCTGAATCTTCTGAAAGTTAATCTCTCCTCAACTAAGAACTAGTTCGCTTATGACTTGGACGACACATTTTCTTTAGCATTAGTGAGAATGCAACTTCTGTTTTCCTGTAATAAACTGGTGTGAGTGTGGTGAAAACAAAGAGAAAAAAAGAAATGGCATGTTTAGTTGTCGCCCCTATAAAACACATGAGAAGGTGCCTGAGCTTCCAGTGCAGAATTTGTGGTGCTCAGTTGGCAATGCAGAAGTGCAAAATCCCAAAGGTTTAGAACTAAACTACAGAATTGATGGGTGATCGTAGAGTTTTCTTTTTCCAAATGATGACTGTATTTGTCTAAAAAATCTCTCATTTGCTTTTCCAGTCAAGGTGGTGGTCAAAGTGGAGCTGGAAGTAAGTTCTACACATACCTTTGGGGGGCATTGTTTCTGTGTACTGCTTGCCTTCAAATCCAGACCTCTGCAGCTTCCCAGTAATGCAATAATTACCCATAAGCATGCTAAATATCAGTTAACGGGCAACAAACAAGGAAACAGAGTGGCCAAATTAACTTTCTTACCACCTATGGGAACTTGGGCAAGACAGAAGTTTTATCTCCAGATACTGTGAATCAGAAGCATGCCAGATGACAACGAAACTTTGAGGTTTCTTTGTAGGAAGTAAATAATCCCACAAAACAGCACAGATATAATTGACAAAATACTAACATGACCAAGAGATTTTGTGAAGGAGAAATTCAGTTCTGAAATAGTCAGTAATACTACCAATTAAAGATATATTTTGCTGACACTGCTAAGGAGAACTTCGGTTTCAGCAATACTCTTAAGTCCTAGTCAGTATGGGTGCAGTGGTTTCACACTGTCAAGAGCATACATTCAAACCTAGTTTCCCCTTCAGTAGCACATGTGTTTATGTAGCATTCACTGCTGATCACAAGAGCACAAGTCATCTTCTCAGCTTAAGAGTTTAGAAACTAGTCATGGCAGAAGCATCCCCTGGCAGTGCTGAATGAAGCTGCTGCCAGCTAGATACAGATTTCAGTGATTACTCTGACCAGTGGCTAGAATTGGACATGGAAACTGAGCTACCCCTGCATTGAAGGAGGTGGGGCTCAAAGGTCAGAACAGAGACCAAAATGAGGAGCTTACATTGCACTTGCTTCTGTGGATGAACACAAGATGTCGCTTGCTGAGTGTTGGTCTGACATCTTCAGTCATCACTTGAGTCATACACAAAAATTTAAAGGTCAGCAGTCATCATCACAGCTCGGCCAAAATCACTCATTTAGAATTTCATGGAATATAGTGCAAATGCATTTTTTTTTCTGTATTCATGCTCTTGTGATTGGCAATGCTACATTTCATAGATTCATAGAATCATAGAATACCAGGTTGGAAGAGACCACAAGGATCATCCAGTCCAACCTCTATTCCAACTTCTAGTCCAACATTTAAATGCTGTGGATGGCATTCCTAACTGGGACAAGTCTGAATCACTGTTTTAATAAATAGGCTGTGCTGGTTTACAGAAAGATTCCATTTGCAAGGATATTGTCCAAATTGCACATACATCTGACATACTTAGAGGCCAGCAATGAATACCCTATTCAGCAGCATTAAATATAAATGCATTAATTTACCATTTGATCTATTAAAGAGATGTTCCCACCTCCTCCTTCTGATCAAGAAATTTATGATGGGATTGATGATGAAGATGTTATAACAAGGTATGTTTTTATATAATTTCAATAATTTACTTCTTATCACAATGTTTTCATTTCAGTTTTCAGTATTTTTTAATTAGGAATAATAATTAGGAAGTATTAGGATGATCAGTAAGTGGGTATGCATCGGGATAGATTTATGAAACTAAAAAAATGGTTCTTTGGTCTTTTGGAGAAGTCTTGTTCTGTAATTAATTTTGGTATGTCAGCAAAAGTAGCTACAATCATAAAAAACCCCAAATCCCCAACTAGATAGAATAGCTCTGAAATGAAAATAACAAACTCAAATGTTAGCTTGCTGAGTAACAACATGAAAACAGTAAGCCACTAGATTAATATATATACCTACAAACATATCTCAATATATACAAAAGGCCTAACATATGTATTTCTGGTGTAGCCTTTTAGTATTTAGCATTTAGGTAAGTGTCCTCACCTTGGCATTAATGAGTATTATGTGCATCAGTGGAGAATTTAGACTGGACCTTTTAAAAAGAATGTTACATTTTACATTGTGATAATTGCATGCATACTCCAAAGGTCTGTATCACAGGATGAAGATAAGAACGGTATCTGGTCCTGGGGAATCTTGAAGAGGCTAAAAGCCAAAAGTGACAAAACGAAAAGTGTACGAGAAAAAACAGCCAAAGTCAATGGGGCAGAAGATAATGGAGATTTGTTGTAAGACTCTGCTAGGAAATCACAGTGCACATTAACTAATTCTAATAAAGCATTGATCACATGCTACTAACATGTTCTCACAGCAGCCTTATGAATCATGAATCAAATTGCGGATCAGGATGATAATTTTCTGCAAAAACTCCTCCTTTCTTTTCAGCTGTATATACATAAATATATATATAATTACTCTCTTAACAAACTGTATTTGTTGCATAAGCCTGGTAATTAAACACACCAAATTTTTTTTACTTGAAGAGAACCAAAACAATCTGTCATCTTTGTGTCACTCTGGTGATGTAAGTTTGCTGTACCCTCAGGTAAAACGTACATTGTTCACCAGTACAGTGTCGCTGAGATAAACTCGTAAATCTAGTTCCATTAATACAAATTTTAGAAACAATATGCCAAACAGAGAAGTGCAAAAATTGTCTTCTACCCATCTTGCCTAGAGGTTAGATCAGCAACTGGTGTTTTTACCATCGTCTTCTCTCTTTCACTTCTAAGCCAGTTTACTTCAATTCAGTGGTAAAAATACAATTATGCCATGAGTACTGCTGGTGTCAGCAGAGCTTCAAAATATCTGGAAATTACTTGAAGCCCTTGTGTTGCAGATTTTTTAAGTGTCTTAAGTGATAAAAATGCCTATTATTGTGATATAAATACTTAATAAGCATCTTTTTTTTCCAGCATGACTCCTTCAACAAAGCAGTTTGAAAAAGGTAATTAATAGCCTATTGTTCAGTCTCCATATTGATTCCTGATCCTTTTTTCTGTATACATTACTCTGCATCACGCTAGTCACAAAAATACATTCAAGGAAGGAAACAGGATTTCCCACTGCTTACCCAGTTCCAGCAAACAAATTTCAAATATTGTCACTGATTTGGCTACAGAGAAGGAGATGCAAATACATTGTAAGCTCTCTAAAAAACAATTTAATGTATTTTTTTAAGAATTCAGGATTTTTCTATGTGACATTTCCACTAGTTCATTTTATTTAAGTATGAACAGATACACCTGGAAAGAAACACTTATTGCAAGAACTCAGAAGCAAAAAGACATGCTTGTTATTTTTACCCCTTGCAGTGTCTCTGTAAGATAACATATACTAATAACTATCAGCTCAGTCATAGAATAAAAAGCAAGGTCTTATAATATCCGAGGCTGTTACCTGAACTGAGTTCTAAATCTGCTACTGTGATTTTTCTAGCTATTGATTTGGTGAGCTGAACAATTGCTTCCTCTCTACAAATACACTGTATGTGATTCAAGGTACATTCTTGGGGTATGAATACTTTTCACTGCTTTGGCATTGCAGGATGGCCTAAAAATTATCATATATGTGATTTTATATCCAGTTCTAAGAACCATTGCATTGACCAAAGTGCTATAGAAGTGCCTGAGTGTATATTAAAATCAAACCCTAAAAATATACTTTGATGTAACACAGTGGGAAATGGACTAATTAAAATGAAGATTAAAGCCTATTGCATTAGTCAGCATGTGCTAAAACTTGCTTCATCTTAAGAAGATTAAAATATCAGTGAATACTTATTATTATTAATAAAGAGTCTTATTCTGAAAAGGTTGGCCGGTATTTGTTTTCCACAGTACATTGTGGAAAACAGAGAACTCACAGTCACTATAGACAACAAATGGCTACAGTACTTGCCATAATTTCTTGTCAATTTAGATGTGCTTTAGATTGTAACACAATGTATTCACTACTCAAGAATTGCATAATAATTTTCCATTCTTTTAAACACTATCGTTTCAGGTTGTGGAGACAATGATGTTTATGATGACGTAGATTCTTCAGATTTCCCTCTGCCACCGCCTGAAATCAAGCAAGTTAAAATGACAACTACTTCCCTGATTAGAGAACTGTAATATATTCTGAAACATTTTCAAAGTATTCACTGGAGGCAAATTGCTGCTAACATATGCTTTATTTGGTGTTGTCTGGTTTCATAGTTCTCCTAATCCTACTGTTGATAATGTCAGTTTAATGCTCCCTGACTCCATTTCAGATTGAAATTTTTTTTTTAATTTCAACAAATTCAGTCCCTTTCTTCAGAGGCAGAAATCAATGCATGGCCTAAATGTACTTCATTGTAGATTCTCTGCATGCAGTTCTCTTCCTATCAGATTCGGGGACTGTTAGGATAAGTCCTTAATCCCAGCTACCGCAGTATTTTAAGAGTAAAGGAGATAGTGCCCTGTGTTTTAAGTATGACACACATCTGGAAGTGTAAAGTTCAATATGGAAAACTTTTATTCCTAAACCAGGGCATTATGGCCATCTCTGGATAGAGCACAGATGCATTATGAGCACAGATGCATCTGTAATATGTGCATCTGGAAAGAAGACTGCAACATGCCACAGTCTGTTGTTGCTAACTCCACTCAGGTGGAGCTACAGAGTACACTACAGTAATCTAGTCTGGAGGCATTAAAACAGAGAGACCTCTTTAACTGTATATCCAAAGGAAAAGATGTGGCCCTCCTAGATTAGGGTCCTCCTCTAGGTTAGTCGACACACACGTGCATACATTCATCATCAGGGAAACTATCATCCACAACTCCTAGAGAAGAGGATCAAAAAGTAGTCAGACTCCAAATTTCTAGGTACTGCATCAGGAAGGACATTTAGGGCATGAAACCCTTCTGTGCTCACTGGCACAAGTCAACAGTATCAGGGATTTGGAAAAAAAAAGCCAAAAAACAACAGAATTTTTAATGAGTCATGTAATGCAGATTCCCTGGTGTAACAAAGTCTTCTATGGGCATGTAGGACTAACACAGCTGCTGCATGAAAGGCTAAGATGTTCAAGCTGTCTCCACATTGGGACATGTTATTGCCCAAAAATACACAGACTTCACAAAAATTGCTCCTTGTCTAGAGATTCTGAAGTGATGGGTATCATTTACTTAAAACTATTTTTGGTAGATGTTAAGTTCTCATTTCTGTAGCAGCTAGATACTTTGAATAATTTTACATACTGACTTATGTGATAGTTATATTAACATTATTAAAAGAGAACTCATTAAAAGAGAAAAGAAGGAAAGACAACCCCAACTTTCTATTTCTTTTGAAATCAAATCAAATTAGTTTTGTAGAGCAACAAAAATGTACTAAAGACACATGAAGGCAAATGCATTTTCACTAAAATTATCAGAAAGATTGTCAGTACCTCAGATGTACTGCTATTTTTGTTTTTATCTAAAATCTCTTGTTTTAGTTCGCCAAAATCAGCAAGCCTTGGAAAATGTAAATCAGATGAAAAAGATGCACAAAAGCTTAAAAAGATGGAAAGAGAAGAGAAAGAGTTCAGAAAAAAGTTCAAAGTAAGTTTTGTTTAAAGGAAGTTTCATTCATATAAAATATGAAGAGTGAAATATCTGTATGGAGTCCCGTAATTTGTATCCTCTAATTTGTAAATAATCCATTATTTTGCCTTTGAAAGGTAAAATATTAGTCCTTGTAAAAATAGTGATCTGAGCATTTGTAAGTCCAAATGGCAAGCATGGGTACATACAACATAGCATAAGAAATTATTTCATTAATTTTCAAAAATTTACTAATAAAGGGCAACATTTTGGTCTAAAAAGTGCATGATACTTTACATTGATGGTTTTTAACCAACAACCCTTTATTTTATTTTTGCAGTTTGAAGGTGAAATTAAAGTTCTTTACTCTACCACTGCAGTCCAGGATTTACCCCAAAGAAGATGGGGATCTAAAGACTTACAAGTTAAACCAGGGGAGTCTCTTGAAATTATAGAAAGTACAGATGATACCAAGGTCTTGTGCAGGAATGAAGAAGGAAAATGTAAGTTTTATTAAAAAGCTGTAGTACAAATGAAATTGTCAGGGAATGATTGAGTCAGGATGTATAACAGTGCTTCTTCCATGTCATGTTAAACCAGTGCCTAATACTTGTCTATTTCCTTGCCTGGTGGTTTGCAAGAGAAAGATTGCTGTTATTTCATCATTGTGTTTTAAGAGCACCTTGCCTTAAAAAAAGTTAAAAACTCCCATGGAAAGGAGATACCAAATGTGAGAAAAGGGATAACTTAGTTATGTAAATCTTGCTTTGCATCAACTAAGATTAGCAGATGTTTCTGTTGCTTCAGTCTCCCTCTATTTGCCAAAAAGAGTATAGCTCTGATAACTCCACAGAATCTAGTCAAAGAAAAACCCTTGGTGCACCTCTGGGAAGCACTTGCCCATTGACTGCAGCCCAAGGAAAATCAGTAACATTATTCTCTGTATTGCCAGAGATGGAGTTTAATCTTTTTAACATGCTGGCAGGGGAAACTGCTTAGGAGTCTTCCCCCCAGTCCCCAGCTGATGCAAGGTGTATGTCCTCACCGGCAAGCCTACTTGTTCTGGGAGCTGCAGGAGGCCTTTCAGTGTTTCTTTGAAACTCTTGGCCAGAGTGTTCATTGGCAGAAGTTTCTGCATTTTTTGAGAAGTCTGGACCAACTACTCTTGGTTTTAATTTCTTAATGTGCTTCTGTTATAATACTTTTCAAATCTCCTAATGAAAATTCACTTTATGTAGGAACAGACGACGTTCAAAGTAGCAGCATCTTTCTGCTCACCTTTACTTTTTACCTCTGACCTATGTAGAAGACAGTCCAATGCCATAAACCTCTGAAGGGGGTTCAGTAATTTCTGTGTTTTTTCCCCTCTATACTCAGCTGTTACAGTCCGGAGTATAGCCCTTTTCCTGGCAGGCCTGCAGGATGAGGAATATTTTCTTGCATAACAACACATATGGTTTCCAAAATATGTATTGCACTAGTGTAGCTGCTTCACAAAGAGCAGCTTTCAATGCCGTATTTTTTGAATCAAGCTAATAACAAAGTAGGAAGTAGTTAATGTTGGCTGTTTTCCTCACACAGTCTTCAAATAGTGACAGGAGCTACTGCTTTGCTATGCATAAAAGAGCAAGATAAATAAAAATAGCCTCACTGAAAACCTCTGAATAGATATCTCTCTATTTTCATATTAATTAGTGAAGTTTGAATCCTACTTTATTTAAGTGAATGACAGTTTTGGTTATTTGCTCTAGTTGTTCTAGTTCTTCACATCTTAAAGCTGCGACTTTACCTTTTGAAGGCCAGATAGAATGAAAATCAACAATTAAATATGTTTTTGTTACTTTCTTGCACATGAATTCTTCCATTTGATCATTAACTTATCAAGAATGTCCATAGCTTTATACCTCTACTGACAGTTAAACAAAATTACAGATTATAATATCTTCCCACCTTATTAAGCAAGGGCTGATGGTTTTAGGAACATATTCTGCTGTTACTTATTTTGTTATTAAATTATTTGAAATTTCAAAAGTGAAACAGGAACTGATTCTTATTTACCTTCTCAAATTCCTTCTTACTATTGCCTTGGTCTGACCCAAATATCTTTAGAAATACACAAAGACTAACTAAGATGAACTTTCACAGATTTTGCTTAAACATTACGATATAAATGTACTTCAGTGCCTAAAAATGTAAGTTGTGTCCTCTCCAAATTTCCTTTACGCTGTCAGAGAGCAGCTGGCCCAATGTATCATAGCTTTCAGTGGTGGTAAGTAATCAAGATGGAGTGTGCTGACCTGCTGCCTTGTTCCCTATTATGGAAGCTACATAAATATGAATAAATCAGTTAAAAACTGAAACATTGGACATGTAATTTTGGCTTAGTAAGTTTGAAAGACTGTGAGATCAGCATGGGCTGCGTCTCCCATGTATTTAGTGGCTAGGGACTGTCAGAAGAACCTAGATTATGCTTTGCAGCAGTAGAAGGATTGTCATGTGCATGTCTGGCTTGCAAGCACACTGTGTTTTTACACTATGACTGTAAGCGAAGAAATTTTGCTTTCACGTCTGTTGTGTGAGAAAACTAAAGAAAGAAATAGAGAAGATAAGCTTAGCCAAATGATTATAAATGATTCCCAGGAGACTTCAGGAGTCCTGGAAATAATTTGAATCTGCTTAAAGAGAATTTTAAAGAGATGATATCTTAAGAAAAAAAAATATCAATTTCCATGCCTTTATCCCAGATAATAAAATCTGAGGAAAGATAACCAGGCTGATATCCTGAATAGATAGAGCTTTCCTTATGTGTACTGACTTGCAATCAGTCTGAAAGACTACACAGGTGACTCACACAGGTGACTTAAGTTCAACAAAGGCAAGTGTAGGATCCTGTACCTAGGGAGGAATAACCCTGTGTAGCAGTACAGGTTAGGGGGTCACCTGCTGGAAAGCAGCTCTGCAGAGAAGGACCTGGGAGTCCTGGTGGATCACAAGTTAACCATGAGCCAGCAATGTCCCCTTGCAGCCAAGAAAGCCAATGGTATCCTGGGGTGCACTAAGAAGAGTGTGGTCAGCGGGTCAAGGGAGGTTCTCCTCCCCCTCCACTCTGCCCTGGTGAGGCCACATCTGGAATATTGTGTCCAGTTCTGGGCTCCCAGTTCGAGAAAGACAAAGAATGACTGAAGAGAGTCCAGGGGAGAGCTACAAAGATGATGAGGGGACTGGAGCATCTCCCTTATGAGGAAAGGCTGAGAGAGCTGGGTCTGTTTAGCCTGAAGAAGAGGAGACTGAGTGGGGATCTCATTAATGCTTATAAATATCTAAAGGATGGGTGTCAGGAGAAGGGGACCAGACTCTTTTCAGTGGTGCCCAGCGACAGGACAAGGGGCAGTGGACACGAACTGGAACACTGGAGGTTCAAGCTCAACATGAAGAAAAACTTTTCTGTGAGGGTTACAGAGCACTGAACAGGCTGCTCAGAGAGGTTGTGGAGTCTTCTTCTCTGAAGACATTCAAAACTCGCCTGGATGTGTTCCTGTGTGACCTGGTCTAGGTGATCCTGCTCTGGCAGGGGGGTTGGACTGGCTGATCTTCAGACATCCTTTCCAACTCCTAACATTAGTAAGTAATTCAGAATTACTTACTAGTACTATTTGCAGGACTCTTTGGGATATTAGTCTTTTTAGATAACTTTTCCAACATTCCGTATAGAAAACATAGGACATTTTTATATATCAAGACATTGGCCAGCTGAAGACTGTGATAATTCAGCAGCTTTGGGAACAGTATTAATTCATTGTGCCTGATGCCAATTTACAAGGGAAAGCTTTCCCTATAAATAAAATTACAGCTCTTGAAAAGAACAATTTCAGTTAGAATAAAATTAAGGCTTGGATGTAAAAAAGGCTTAACACAAAATATGAGATTATTTGACTGGACATTACTGTGCATTTGAAAAAAAATACTTTCATGTCTTGAATATCATACAATTAAAATCCATGTGAAAGAAGAAATAATTCCTTAAGGTAAAACAGTAAAATCTGGGGCTTTAGCTAGATTAATCCGAAGAATCACCACCAGAAATACTTGCAGAAAACTGATACTTCCTGTACTATATAATGGTATTCAAGGAACCTTGCAAGTCAAGCTAATAAATTTATTCTAAAACCTATGAATTATGTATGAATTACTATAAAACTGTTATTTTAGTGTGAACATTTAAGCCTCCTAATGAATAAAAGGAAACTTACAGAGTAATTTAGAATATAACACAAGATCACATTTCTCCTTTAGAACTGTCCTAATTTTGTACCAACATACTAATGTTTACCAACAAATATGTAATTATTGTTATGGCGTTCTCTTTGTTTGTATAAGTTATACCAGTTGGCAAGATATCAGTAGATATCTTTTACCAAACACAAGTATTTTTCAAGAGATTAAATATATTGAAGAAGGATATGTGTAGTTTTCATTGGTAATGCAAGAGAGTACTGAAATAATTCACTAGTGACTACCTTTTCTAAGGTATTTCCATTATCTATAGAAACAGTTCTTATCAATATGATACAGTTAAAACATTAGAACTATTACAGTTAATGATAATTCATTGGTGTATAGATAGATATTGAATGATATTTTGTCCCTGTAGGAAACTAGATATATTTCTGTTAATTATTATTGTAAATAATATTATGTGGTTATTTTTATAACACATTTTTGTGCTATAGTTTGTGAACTGTACTGTTTTGTGCTAACAGCAATTGTTTCACACCCTTCTTGTGCAACCAGGAAACTAAAATATAAGATGAAAACCTAATCTTGCATAACCTGTATTACTATTTTCTCCTTTCAGCACTAGTTTTGTACACAGTGGAAACTATTCCAGTGAAACTAGAGAAATGGTGTAGTTTGAATATGTGAAGTACCTGGCATAGCAGAAATATAACTGGTCTTGGAGCTACTGTAGTATTCCGATTCCCTAAGGGACCACATTATACCTAACAAGCAGATAAGAATAATTAAAACTAAAATTGAGCATAGCAAAATATTCCTTGAGTACATATCCATTGTACATTGTTATCCATCTATTATGTCTTTCTGTCTGAAATATCTAAAAGGGAAAAACTGCATCTCACTAATGCTAGCAAGAGAAGAAATGACATGAATGTTTAAATTTAACTTAAATACAAATATACTTCAATTTTACAGATGGCTATGTTCTGAGAAGCAATTTAGTTGAAAAGTAAGTACAAAGTGATCTCTTTGAAAAACTTGTTAAAACACTCAATTTTCTTCTTCTAAACCGTTTGTTAAATACAAGTGAAATGTAATTATTTTAGTATGTCATTCTATTCCTGCAAATTGACTTATTTTTATGGAGCTTAGATTTCCAAGAAGTAGACACATACATCCATGCTGGAAATTTTCCAGGGCCCCATTCTTCATTGCTTAACCATAAACTCTGAAAAATCACATAAATTAAGCATTATTGGTACTAGAATCTATTACTGAACTGCACATTAATGTGATTAAGTGTATTGATGCCATTTTCAAATGTTTAACTAAAATGAACCAATTTTTCTTTAGGTTTGTGTTTTTCAGTCTTACTGGGATTGAGCAGATTTGGCTCAGTGCTGTGCTGAATAATTGCATGGAGTTCATCGTTTAGGTTCTAATCCAAAACTCTCACCAGATAAAGCCTTTCCATTTCCTTCAAAGGGCTTTATATTAGACCCTTAAATATCAAATCAGATGTCACTTTTAGAATTAAAGCCTGCAAACACTTATAAACTTTTAAGTTATATATATAAATGCTCTTATTGGCTTTCATAGACCTGTTCGTGTATCTAAGTGACATATTTTGAAAATTCCTATTCATGGAGCATTTATGTTTTATAGGCATTACCTAAATTCATTTTTTAAAAAGCTGCTCCTGCAAAACCATTGTGGCATTGCCAAGTACAGAAACAAATAAGAATTTCAAGGGCATACTGATATTCTTTACTCATCTTTTCTGATTTTCATTTTAAAAATCAGCAAGTATTTAATTTTTCATGGAAATATGAGTTTGTTAGAATAGCTAATTACAAACTTAATCTAAAAAACCCAACCTTTTAATAAAGCAAGCCTTTCATGTTAGAAAGAAATGCATCCAGCTCTACCCTTCACTGAAAATCCTTTGACCTAACCTTCTGGCTCAACACTGCTCTGCTACCACATAGGCTGCACTTTCCTAATTAGCAAATTAATTACTTGATAGCATGTCTGCACCATACTGCTACACTATTTTGTATCTGCATGCAAATGCTAATATACATCTGATGTCTCAATATTTGAATAAATTATTTTTCTTTTTTTTAACTTACAGTGATGGAGAGATTTACGATGATATTGGTGATGGTATGTTGAACATTTCAAACAATACAGTAACTATGTTCAATTACAGCAAATAACTTTATCCTTGAGTTGAAGTACTACACAAAACTAGTATTTTTGCATTTTATTCCCATTGCAGATTGCATCTACGATAATGACTGATGCAGAATTCTACGCAAGTACAAGCTTCATTGAAGATCAGCATTTATTATGGACTTCCTAATCATGACAGCAAGGGAAGTCACTGAAGCTGATTACAAGTTAATGGGTTACACTCTTCTAAATGTACAATTAGCCTTTTTTCAGGTTTCAGGGTTTTGTCATCCCTTGCTTTGTATGACAATCATATTGCCATTTATCTGAGCAATTAAAATTCAGGGAGTATCAGCTAAAGTTAAGGCTATGATTTTCCACTTCCTTTCCACATTTGTGATGCTCTATGTAAAAACAGTTCACCAATTAGCTATACGCAAAGAGCCCAGTTCAGGTCTATGAAGGATACAGAGGACAGCAAACCCTGGGAACAGGCTTTACTCAGGCTTTGGTCTATTGAACACCAGAGGCTGCTGCTCCTGGGACAACAGTATCCTGAAAAGAAATGCTTCCTTTGGTGATAACATCCTGTTGTGAAAACAGGAAATCGAAAGTGGGCATCAGAGAAGACAGTACGTTGCTGACCTGCCATTCCAGCTGCCATAGCGTTAGCTACACTGACATGTACTGCCATGTACCATTTTTACTGAAGTTTCTTTCTCTGCGTTGTACTAATGATAGAATACAATTTCCTAAAACATATTTTACAATTTTGTAAGTACTTTTTGACTAACATTAATAGTAAAATAGTAACGATGTGGTACGTGTTACATACAGCACTCTGAGATATAAACCATAGAAAAGTCTACTTTATAGTATAGTGTTGCTCAAAATACATTCAGAACATTTAGATTAAGATTTAATTTCTATTTAGGTTGAAGATATGTTGTTGTTGTCACTATAGTAATTTAGGCATTAAAATAGATCTATAAACTGAGGATAAACTGGTTGGAAATAGCTTCTAGACTAAATATGTATGTATACTTACCACACCATTTTGATAATATCTTTTTCTTCTAAATACTATATTTTACACTAGACTTGGCTAAATGAGAGTACAGAAATTAAACATTTCCATGCTTAGCCATTGTAGAAACAACATTTATTCCTAAAGATCATTAGTGATTCTGTTCTCTGAATGAGCAAGTAGCAAATCAAGGTAAAATGAATGGATGGATCATAATAATAAATATAATTTTGCACTTACATATCAGAACTCACTGGAAATCAAAAGATGTTTACAGTGAGCTCCCAGTAAGGAGTATGAGAATGTGCAGAAAATGCAACATGTAATTGCAATGTGTGATGATTTTGCTACAGTGTAAAATAACCAAAAACCTGTAACAACCAATGTGGCTGCATCAGTGTAAACAACTCCTCTTGATAGTCTGGTCTCCTGTGATCCTCAAGGGAAGTAAGGCACACTGTGCAACTCAGTGCAATGTGGCAAGCTAGCAAGTTTACCCTATAATCATTAAAAAAAATTTTGGCTCAGTTGAAGTCAGTGAGTTTTGGTCTTAGCTTCAGTAGAGCTGAGATTTCATCTTACATAAGTGACCTTTATTGATGGTTCAAAATACAGTACATCTTTAAGGAGGTATAATGCTATGGGGATATAAAATAAAAAATTAACTGTAGAGATAATAGCCTATAAGCTATTTTATACTGTATTTAAAATCATGGATAATACACTGAAAAGCTATATGCAGACTTGAGTTTCCTGTTCTATATTCGCTATTCAACTGGCATCCGGGCATACAAATACCAATTTTATGTGTAAACATCAGCACCAACACCCATATTTAAAACATGACCTTGTATATAAAGTACTATGATGTGTGTCTAGCTATTTGGCTATGTCACTGCTGGTGATCTCTTTATTTTTCAGGAGCATTCAAATTAGTGATATGCCAAAGAACTGAGAGGGAATGCAGACATTTAGAAATAAAAAAACACTTGTCAGTTAACAACAGAATAAATGCTTTACATAGTTAATTATCTCAAAAAGAGTTTTTATTAAATTCTAACCTATATGCGCAGTCTTGTTTTAGTGTTAACTGATAGTAGAACTCCATGTGTTGCAGTAAGACCAACAAAGGAACTTTCCTTTTGAACATAGTTTATCTTGTATTAAAGGACTTAAAGAGAACGTAAACCTCTTTTGTTCCCCTGAAAAATAAGTTAATGTTATTCTTTGTGAGATTTTTCCAGTTATATATTTTTAATAGCTTTTCCATGTTCTTAGCCTTTATGTGTTGTAGGTACTCTGTTTTCTTACTGATTATACTGACTGAATTGGTTGTATGATACATTAAATCATCAGAAGAAATAATAAGGTACTGTAAGCTAAAAATCTGCGCATTTTCTGCCCAGATCAAATATAATGTGATTGTTACAGGGTGTTGAAATGTATTAGTAAGGTACCACACACTGAAAAATTACTGGTATTGTGTATTTGTATCTCCATTATTTTACCAGTCGTTCACTGGCTGCATTTTTTTCTTTCTTCTGAATAAAAGTGTGCTTTCTGACAAGAGATGTGGGTACAGCATTTTCTGCCAAAGTAGAACAACAGTAGCTGAAAAATAACTTCTGAAAATTACTCACTGAGCAGCTGACAAGAGTGAAAATCAAGTTTATTATTGTTGCAAAGGCAGCACAACTACAATGTGGCATTTGTTTGTCAGTAATTACTATCCAGAAAGTGAAATGTAAGCAGAGAATCTTCCAGACATCAAAATCTATACTTAGGCATTTTAAAGACTGTATTTTAAGGGTCTCTCACCTGTAATTTATTCTATTATCTTTTAAAAGTCATAAAGAAACAAAAAGGAAAGCTTTTCTCTCTCTTGATATTTTTCCCTCTCCAAACTCAGTCTATAATCCTGGAGTATTTGGATGTGCCTGCTAAAACATTCAGCAGTGAATACATCAAAATATTGACATAAAAATTAGACTTCAGTATGAACACCCCAGTTAAGGTAAACAAAGATGGTTTCCATCTGTGTTGTACTTCTACGCTGTCCCATTAAACAGGCTAAGCAAAACAAAAACTGGGAGGGCAAAAAAGACTTCTCTAGTCCAGGAGCTTTAGAGCATTTCTCTGCTGTTACCACGG